CGCCTCCCTCATGCCCTCACTCCCCTGGTGTCTGTGTCCATTGGTTAGGCTTATATGCATGCATACAAGTTCTTTGGTTGATCTCTCCTCCTTTCCCACACCCTCCCCTACCTACCCTCTAAGGTTTCATGGTCTGATCGATGCTTCTCTGTCTCTGGATCTCTTTTTGACCACAGCTTTTTTATCCGCTCCTCTACTGCTGGACACTTGGACTGCTTCCAAATCTTGGCTATTTTAAATAATGCTACAGTGAACATAGGGGTGCATGTATTCTTTAGCATTTCAAGTATTTTTTAAAATACATTCCTAGAAGTGAAATTGCTGGGTCAAAAGGAAATTCCATTTTTAATTTTTTTGAGGTAACTCCATACTGCTTTCCACAGTGGCTGCACCAGTCTGAATTCCCACCAATAGTACATGAGGGTTCCCTTTTCTCCACATCCCCATCAACATGCGTTTGTTTATTTATTTAGATAGCCATTTTGACAGGTATGAGGTGATATCTCATTGTGGTTTTAATTTGCATTTCTCTGATGATTAGTGATGTTGAGCAACTTTTCATATGTCTACTGACCATCTGTATGTCCTCTTTAGAGAAGTGCCTATTCAGGTCCTTTGCCCATTTTCAATTGTGTTTCTTTTTTTTTTTGGTGTTGAGTGAAATTGATGTAGTAATAAAAAAAAACTCCTAGCAAACAAAAGTCCTGGACTAAATGTTATATACAGGCAAATTTTACCAAACATTCAAAGAAGAATCAACACTTATGTTTCTCAAACTATTTCAATAATTTCAAGAGGAGGAAAGACTCCTAAGATCATTTTATGAGGCCAACATTATCCCAATTTCAAAACCAGATAAAGAAAATACAAAGAAAGAAAAATTATAGGCCAATATCCCTGATGACTGTAGATGCAAAAAATGTCAACAAAATATTAGCAAGTAGGATCCAGCAATATATTATAAAGATCAAACACTATGATCAAGAGGCATTTATTCTGGGATGCAAGGTTGGTACAATATCCACAAATAATAATTGTGATGCACCACATTAAAAAATGAAGGATAAAAACCACATTATCATATCAATAGATGCAGAAGCAGCATTTGATAAAATCCAGCTCCCATTTATGATAAAAACTCTGAGCAAAGTGGGAATAGAGGGAACATACCTCAATGTAATAAAGGCCACATATGACAAACCAACAGCCAACATCATACTTAATGGGCAAAAACTACAAGTGTTTTCCTTTAGATCAGGAAGAAGAGAGTGATGTCTGCTTTCACCACTCTTATTCAACGTAGTACTGGAAGTCCTAGCCAGAGCAATCAGACCCAAAGAATAAATAAAAGGCATCCAAATTGGAAAGGCAGCAGTAAAACTGTCATTTGCAGATGAAATGATATTGTACATAGAAAATGCTAAAGATTCCACTGAAAAACTACTAGAACTGATAAATGAATTCAGTAAAGTAGGAGGATATATATGAAATATCCAGAAATCAGTTGCATTTTTATACACCAATAATGAACTATCAGAAAGGGAAAATAATAAAGCAATCCCATACACAATTGCTTCAAAAAGAATAAAATACCTAGGAATAAATTTAACCAAAGATGTAAAAGACCTTTCCTTAGAAAATTATAAGACACTGAAGAAAGAAATTGAAGAAGATACAAATAAGTGGAAACATATACAGTGTTCATAGATAGGAAGAATTAACATCATTAAAATGTACATACTATCCAAAGCAATCTATAGATTCAATACAATTCCTATCAAGGCCAATGGCATATTTCACAGAATTAGGACAAATATTCCAAAAATTTATATTGAATCACAAAAGACCCTGAATAGCCACAGCAATCTCGAGAAAGAACAAAGTTGGAGGAATCATGCTACCTGATATCAAACTATACTACAAGGCCATAGTAATCAAAACATCAGAGTATTGGCATAAAAACAGACTTATAGATCAATGGAACAGAACAGAGAGGTCAGAAATAAACCCAGGCCTTTATAGTAAATTAATATTTGATAAAGGAGGCAAAAACATACAATGGGGTAAAGATAGTCTCTTCAATAAATGGAGTTGGGAAAGTTGGAAAGACACATGCCAAAAAAATGAAACTAGACCACCATCTTACACCATACACAAGAATAAACTCAAAAGGGATTAAAGACTTAAATGTTAGACTCAAAACCATAAAAATCCTAGAGAAGACATAGGCAATAAAAGCTTGGATATTTATCATACCAACATTTTTTTCTGATATAGTTCATCAGACAAGGTAAACAAAAGAAAAATTAAACAAAAGGGACCATATCAAACTAAAAAGTTTTTGCACAGCAAGGGAAACCATCAACAAAATGAAAAGACAACCCACTGAATGGAAGAACATATTCACCAATGATACATCTCATACATCTCATGTTTTATTCCAATATTATTCTCTCATGAAGCAAGTGTCTATCTGATATTGGATTTTAAATACTGAAGGCATAATTGGAAGTTTTTATCAGGTATTGAGACCTATATGCATAAACATTCAAATTACATTGTAAAAAGCACAATTTTTTAAATCAACTTTGAGGTTAGAGATACTTTCATTTATGTTTATTTTAGGAAATAAGTTCTCCATCATTGGTGGACAGGAATGCCAATAAAACATTTGGACCACTGTTAGTGATCAGGGCAAGGAGAAGCAGGGTGTAGCCCCTCTTCGGTGAAATATTTTCTGATAGACTGAAATGCAATTATATTTTCTTTTGTGTGGAATCTAAACTTTCTTTATGATTCAAAAGTTGTACGTGTTATATGGCATTATATTATTCTCTTACATCTCCATTCAGAATTTCTACATGAGGCTACCCTGTGTACACAGTGTGCGATATGGATCACTGCACTGAAGATGTGCAGTGTCCCCCCCCCCCCCCCCCCCCCCGCCCAGCCAAAAACAATTAGCACCTCAACAGAAGGAATTAGTTTATGGACATTTTTGTATGCCTTACATTTAGCAGAACCTGGCTCGTGGTAGCTGTTCATTACTCTCTTTTGAATGAAGAAAAGAATGAGCTACTTTCAAGCCACATTCCTCTCTCTACTCCCCAGACTATATTTAAGTTGTTGGTTTCCCCAAGTTAAGAAGTGAGTTATGAAAATTTACTTGCACAATCACCATTGGATAGATTCATAACTGATTAACCAAATGTACTGAAAACATTTAAAGAATTGTTCTTGGGGGGAAAAAAGTCATTCTTAATATAATGCAGCATTTTCAAAAATATGTTCCGTGGAACACTAGTCCTGCAAGATGCTCTTAGATAAAGGTTAAATAAGTTTGGGAAACTACATACCTTTGTGGGAGGTTAGCAATGTAAATTGGCATTTTTAACAGTTATGAGAAATTGAGAAGTTACCTGTTATTTATATAACTTAAAGAGTTTTCCAAATTTGGAGTAGTGGCCACCTCTACCTTTTAAGTTTCTACCTGTCTGTCTGTCTACCTACCTACCTATCTACCTATTTTTTTTAAGAATAAGCAATATATTATGAGATTTAAAAGCTTGGGCTTTGGGACCAGATACACCTGGTAGATTTCTGACTCTGCCATTTACTTGTTGTATAACTTGTAGCAAATAATTTCTTTAAGCTTTAGTTTCCTCACCTATAAATTGATGTAATGATAATATGTACCTTAAAGGATGATTGTGAGGGATAAATGATATAATACATAAAAAGTGCATTCACCATGCCTGGTACATACTTTTACTCAATTCATGTTATCTGTTATTATTTGTGTTTACTATTTGCTATATATCTTGGAAAACAGTGACCCATAGGTAGGTGTTTGAGGGGGTGCAATAGGATTCTCTGATAGGTTTAGTCGATTCAGTTATTTTGCTGATTATTAATGAATGACTTCTCAAGCCAGATAAGCTTTCCTTCCACTGTGCTTCTGTAGTACTTTGTTATTTCACCTATTTGTTATTGTTCTCCTATTACTTCTCTCTTATAAATCTTTCCCATTTCTGATGGGAAGATTTTTAAGGCTATTGATGAAATGGAAGATGCATTTAAATGGATGACAAAGATGATGAAAGGTCTTAGAAGCCATTTATTATGGGGAGGTGTTTAGTTTAGAAAATAAAACAATGAAGTATTATACCATGAAAGTTAGGTTATACTTTTGCATAACTCAGCAATGCATAATTCAGATCAATGGGTAAGTTACAAAGTGGTTTAGCATAAGGAAGGGCTTATAAACAATTAGAGGAATTCAACAAGAGAACAAAATAATTATTCCTTTATCGCAGAGACATTCTCAGAAATGTCAGGAAGGAGTTTGAAGACCTAGAGGGCAAGGCATTATCCTAGTTGTTCTGGAGATAATCAAAATGGTTAAGTTCCTCAAGAAAGAAAAAAAATGTTCTCATAATAAGAAAACAAAATTTCTCATCATAAGAAAATAATTGTAACTATGTGGGGTAATGGATGTTAACTAATTGTGGTTGTCATTACACAGTATATACATATACCAAATCATTATGCTGTACCCCTTACCAATACAAGTGTTGCATATCAAGTATAGCTCAATAAAACTAGGGGAAGAAGAAAGAAAAATGTAAGATAAAGAATGATGAGAGGGATAGAAAGAAACTATTGTCAGTAGAAATCAGAAGACTATATTCCTGTCTCTGGCATTAGGGTACACTTAAGGAAGAACATGACTTTTGACCGATCCCTTGAAAGAGAGAAAGATTGGAGCATGGGATGAGAGAAAGATTTTGACCGATCCCTTGAAAGAGAGAAAGATTGGAGCATGGGGTTTGAAGAAGGGGTCAGCTTCCACAGCATG